CCATCCAGGAGGGTTACAGTCTGGTGAGGGCTCAGCATCCGGGCAGCATCAAGATCCAGGAGTTTCTGAGTCAGCTGGAGGTTCTGTGGGACGAGCTGAAGAGAAGGCATGAGAGGAACGGTCTGGTCCTGAAGGTCTCAGAGGAGCTCAACTATAGGGTACATATATCTCGTGATTCCCTGAATGTTTGGAGTGGCATGCCTTCTGTTGTTTAAAGAAAATAGTATGCAGTATGTATACTGAGCAAAATATGCCATTTATTATGCCAAGAAATGCCCACACAACTACATTTGCCAAAATGTACAGTATACAACTAGAGCGCACTGTGGAGTACTGCATCCCATAATGCAGTGCGTGCAAAATTGAGAATACATTTCCAGTGTGATGAGCAAGAAATGCTATCTATCATGATTTGACTTTTTTTTTCTTTTCTTTTTTTAACTGACAAAAAATTACACAAAACTGGAATAAAAATGCAAAAACAGTATTACTTTACAAGATGGATTTAAACATGCAACGTAACAAGGTTATGTAACAAAAATGTAGCAGATTATTTACTGTTTGAAATATTGATCATTGCATTTTGCATACTGTTTCACATAAATAGTAGACACTGCACAGTGTATTTTGCATGAAAAAAATGTATGTAAAAAAAGTGATGTGTGTGTGTGTGTCTAAATTACACATTTAATTTATGCTAATTACATAATAAAATATAAATAAAAAATATCGCAATTTATTGTTTTGTTGCATTCAATATTGACTTTATTAGTCTTGAAAATGTAATGGGGAATGCAAAAAAAAATAAAAATGAAATGTTGCTGCATTACAGTGATTTTTTGATGGAAAATGTGCTTAATTATCTTAAAAATAATGTCTCAATGCAAAAGTTGTAAGTTGAATACATACAGTATAATACAAATAACACAATGTTAAACATGCAACGTAACAAGGTTATGTAACAAAAATGTAGCAGATTATTTACTGTTTGAAATATTGATCATTGCATTTTGCATACTGTTTCACATAAATAGTAGACACTGCACAGTGTATTTTGCATGAAAAAAATGTATGTAAAAAAAGTGATGTGTGTGTCTAAATTACACATTTAATTTATGCTAATTACATAATAAAATATAAATAAAAAATATCGCAATTTATTGTTTTGTTGCATTCAATATTGGCTTTATTACAGTCTTGAAAATGTAATGGGGAATGCAAAAAAAAATAAAAATGAAATGTTGCTGCATTACAGTGATTTTTTGATGGAAAATGTGCTTAATTATCTTAAAAATAATGTCTCAATGCAAAAGTTGTAAGTTGAATACATACAGTATAATACAAATAACACAATGTCAGGTAAACAAAATGAAAGTAACATAAAAAGGGCAAAAATTAAAATAAATTAAATACTAAATTAAATATTAGGACATATTTGTATTTTTTATGTTTTTGACTGACTTTCATTGGATTAGATATTCTACACAAAATGTGATTTCAAATGCAAAATAACCATATTTTTGCCGAATGCATGCAGTTTGTAAATTGTTCAGTATACAGTCAGTCACCCTGCATGGAATGTTATATCTCATAATGCAGTGTGGGATAAAAAGTAAAGTCTGCTCTGCCTGAGTGTATTTGTGATTTGTGCATTGCAGAGAACAGACCGTCCACAGCAGTTGTGTTTAACTGATAATTGCGAGTTGTTTGGCTGTGATTGGCAGGTGGTGCGGATGCTGCAGTCTCTGGCCAGTCTGGAGGCGTGGTTGGAGGCGGTGGAGCTGTCCATCAGGCAGGCGTCTCTGGCTGGAGACCCCGAGTCCGTGAGCGTGGTGGAGCAAGAGAGCTGCCAGCTGGAGCAGGAGCTCGAGGCCAGACGTCTGGAGCTGCAGACCCTCAGACAGGAAGTAGATCATCTGAGCAGTCAAAGACATCTTCACACTCCGCTGCTTTCTGCACGCCTGAAGGACGTGGAAATGAAGTATGTGCCGCCGGTTCGATACGGATAGACATTTATGCTGCGGTGTTCGGATGTATGAGCGTTGGTGTTCTTTCAGGTTCAGCAGTGTGCAGATGGCACTGACCCAGCAGAGCTCAGAGCTGAAGGACACGCGGATGCTCACGGAGTTCCTGGAGAAGCTGGAGCTCGAGGAAAGTCACTACAGCACCCTGGGACAGGTTAGCTACGGGTTGTGTTTTTATGGTATAATTAGAAAGGTTGCTGGTTCGAATCCAGAGTTGAACAACACTCCATGAACTGTATTGTAAAAAAATGATTGTCATAGCATCATCTCTGATTCCATCCATTTGTTAATAATTGTAATAATTTATTACTATTATTGTTATTAATAATAAATATAAATAATAAATATCTTATTTATAAATTATTATCATTATAAATAAGACTTAAATGTTAAATATTATTTAATAAATAAATATCAATTGCATTTGCATTAATCATACTTGTATCAATTTATATATACTGTATATGTATATAAAATTATTTGTATTACTTAATATTATGTAATTTAATGTAATTATAATTAATTAATTTAATATTATAAAATTTATATTCATAAAAATATTATGAACTTTTTATATTATACGATACTAATCTAATTATAAAAACTATTAATTTAATAATAATAATATTTAATATTAATTTAATAAGGTAATCAGTAATCATT